CCATGCGACGGGCAACGCACGGCGGCGCGAAGGGCACAAAGCTGGACTACCGGGGTTCATCCAGGCAGCGAGGGGCAGCATTCCTAATTCAAAACCTCAAAAACAAACTAACTTCAGCTGCCCCCCCTTTTTTTTTTCGAGGCCCCATGCGGCCGCAAATTGTTGTTGTTTTTTTTTGTGGTTCGTGACACGACATCCCACCTGGCCCTAGAACAGCCCTTGACAACTTTTTTTTTTCCGCCGACCCCTTATTTTCGGGGTGCGCTGCACCCCGTGCGCGCGCGTCGTGAGCGGTGCGCGGTGCGGCGCGTGTGCGGGGTGCAGCGCATGTCGACGCACCGCAAGTATGCTGTTAAGTGTTTTAGTCCAATGCTTCGGAACTTTGCCTTATTTGCTTCAATGTTGCACTCATACATGCACACTGCAAGCTGCATGATCTGTGCCCGAACTTGTAGTCATCCGAAAGCATTCTGATAGAACCATTGGAGCAATTAGCACTGCCTGTCATGCACGTTTGGTTAATTTCTGACTCGAAAAGGCCATCAAAGTGCTGCAAGGAACATGAATGTGGACGAAGCACAGAAATCCAAATTGCAAAATCACACTGAAGTCCAAGTAGTCAAAGCAAGAGCAGATAGCACAATGGAACCGAGTAACCATCCATTTGAGAACGATACAGAAGAAGCGTGAGTCAATGTCCAAGCCCAATCGGGCAATACCAACAGCATAACCCAATGTAGCTCTCTCTCTTGAATGGCGCCAGGCGCCCTACCTACTCTACAGCCTATCACTACGACTACAGCATGGAAGCAACCAGACAACTTGACGACCAGCRAGTGATGATGTCAACACCAATGCCGACCTCCTCTCCACCAGGTACGTCTCTCTCTTCACCCTCACTCTCCCTTGTTATCCCACACAGTGCCCTTCACCTCCGAAGAACCACCTTCGCCCTTCACCTCTTCTGCGCCCACAGGCAGCCCAGCTATGGCCGCCAGCACCCTGCGCCCAGGCTGCGCTCTACCGCTTAGCGCTAGCCTGCCCTCACCCAGCCTGGCACAGCGCAGCACACTCGCAATCCAGCAGCGTGCCGGCCTTGCTCGCAATGGCCAAGATCCCTGCCCACTCGCCCTCCCTGCCTATATGCCAATGTTGCGTGTGGGCGGCCTCCCTTGAGCCTGCGCCTGGGCCCCAGTACCTGTTCCCATGCCCAATGCGGTTGGGGCCCAGGAGATGCAGTTGCGCCTCTTTCATCAAGGCCTGCGGCCAGATTCAGATAGTGGACCCGTTTCCCATTGGCATTTTAGGCCTCTATATCCAGCATGCATTGTCGGCCTCACGTTTATGTGCCCAGGGCCTAACCAATTCTGGGGCCCTGGGATTTGTGCATTTGCAGAGATCCGATACTCGGTGCAGTCCAACCAACTGGTGTGCAGCAACTGTATGGACCCCACTCCGTGAAATGTTTGAACAAAGGGCTCTCTTTGATTTGCTGGCCCGCCTTCACTTAGGGCAGGCACGAGGCTTGCTGGGGGCCTTAGCCCAGAACATGTATATCACGGCAAGGCCCCTTTGAGGGCTCAATCCTCACAGTGCAACCTTGGTACCCTCATTTGCAATTCAGGCTCAGATGGAGGGCATCAGAGTGCAACCTTGGTACCAGGATTTGCAATTCAAGCACAAAAGATACTTACTTATCACAGACCCCATCAATGTTTAACATGGAAAACTGATGGATGGATGATCAGTTAGGAATAGTAGATGCCAAATTGACACAGAGATCCGAAAACATCCACAAATCACATGGAAGACAGAAAGATCCACGTAAACAACCCACTTTCACTTTCTCTAAATGTCTCACGAGAACTCTGAGTGCAACTGGCAAGTTCCGGATTCTTACAAGTTTAGCCGTTTTTACCACATCAGGTCGATAGTGAGTTCTCAAGTGACATACGGTGTGCATGATAGGCATGGCAGCTCACATACTGTCCTGCCTTCATGCATGACGCAGCCCAAGAGTCAGCTATGTCATGTCTGATCTTTGAATTGACGTTTGCATACATGAAAATGTCTGTATTACTCTGACAGTAATACTCTGTGCCTCACTGCCTCCCAGACTGACTACTCAGCAACTACTACTTCACATACTTGGGCTGAGAACACTGATGACAAAAAGGGATCGAATGGATCTTTGTTGGAAAGTCTGGGAAGTGATCACAACCTGATCTGCCTGTTGCCACATGCGATTCTTGTCTGATCAGGTCAAAACGCCTTGCTGGACGTCATGATATCTTCTTACCACCATTTGTCGTTCCCAAGAACTTTGGAAGGATGTACTTCATATTCACAAAGCCCATCCCCACAAAAGGTACTCTCTCTCTCTCTCTCTCTCTCTCTCTCTCTCTCTCTCTCTCTCTCTCTCTCTCTCTCTCTCTCTCTCT